CTGATCCAAAGAACAATACATAAATACGACGTTTTAGCCGTGCAGCCTTAATCATGAATACATGATACACTGTGCAGCCTGTTGCTTCTCACTTTTGATGTACTTTGGGGGATAACAGACCTCTACTACTGAGCTCTAGTGCTATGCTCTACCAGTGTGCGACACTCTACTAACTTTCTGTCTTTGAATTGTATGTATTCAAGTGTTTATGTATACATTTCCTGCACGTAGACATATTATGCATCATTTTCTCAATGACATTTTTATCTCAAAATTTCCATGGTAGTGTCCACATGTCCCATTACATCTGAATTATAACTGGCAGATTGCACAAACATATGTGAAAATTACCAAAACAACTTTACATTAGGAAGAACATTTTATCATGATATTGATTAAAATTTAAATTATTGCAATGTATTTTTCTTTTCTTTTTTTAAAATATGGAAAGCCTATAGTCAGTGAGAGAAATTTAGTTTCATTAGTTTATTGATTTATCAGTTGAGAACTTAATCAATCACCTTTTGTAGGCTATTAGAATAAAGTGGGAAATTAACTTATCTGATGCATTCAGCATTGATTTACCTCACTGCATGATCTAAACCTGTCAGGATTATGTACTCTTTCAAATGCAATTCAATCTTTCAGGAGACAAGCGTAGATACTTTTCACAAAGTCAAATATATAGAGCAATGGAGAGCTAGGAGGAAATTTAACTCCTTGAATTAGAACATGCATCTTTTCTGATATTTAACTCCCATATTCCCAGAATCAGCAACTGGTTTTACTACTGATGCCAGTTCTACTGGTTACCGATAGTGATTCCTAGAACCAAGATAGTGAGGCAAGCCTACTGGTTTGGAAACGTACACTGAATAGTTTACTAACCAGACTGGAGATTCTCATTGTCAAGGGGTTGGAAAGACCCAAGATTCAGAGCTTAAAACTGACAGTTATCCTAAAAAAAAGTAAGAAATGACAGGATAGATAAGATTTACTGGTCCTTATGGGGGTGAGACTTATTGAGAAGATAGATAAAAAAAGACCAAGGAGTGGTCAGATACAAGTAAAGGTCAAGGTAGTACAAAAGTCATATGAACCATGAGACAAGCAGAGTCAATGAATCAACAAGATCAACTTGTGTCAAATACTAAAATTACTAGACAGTCCAATGAATTTTAGGCGTCTGATGGTTTTAAATAGGTAGCATTGTTTGCACATTAGTTTGCATCACTTCTGTTCAACCAGACTGCATGGTTTTTACTGCAAGAATGAGGCTCAGGAATATGATGCAAGTTTGCTAAGAAAAAAATTAGTGTGTTCCGGCAGCGTCTAGCATCGATATTGTCATGATGTGGGTATGTAGTAATCGTGACTATTCTCTTCTTTTTACACTTGTGCATAGTAAAATTGGTTCAGTTGAATCAAATCATCCAAATTAAAATAAATTTTTGAAGTGGTTGGAAATTCGTCCATGTGACATTTCGGTTAAGACCAGTTTTGACCATGCAAACTTTTTCTAAAAAGCGATTTGGATGAACCAAAAGGTCATTAAAATAGGCCTACATGCTACACAATGTACATAATATTCTGTATATATTTTGCAGTACCCTGATAGATGCATTTTCCCACAATTTGGTCCACAGACCAAGTGATAAGTAACCAATAGAGGGAAAAATGGAGGAGCGGTAACAACATCTATATTTATATATTACATATTTATTAAATATCTAATAAATAAATTTACAAATGTACATTTATACCGCCCCTATTTCCCCCCGATTGTTAGTTAAATCTCACTTAATCTGTGAATAAAATCAACATTTAGTGATTGTGCCCTTACCATCAATCTTCTTTCCCATCAATCATCTCTTTTTTGACACCATAGATGGAATTCCAAATAACAAAACAAACTAAACTGCTGGTCCATCGTTGGTGTCTTTGTTTCGGGATACGTCCACATGGCACATTGGAGCTATGGAATTAAAATGACTCGCCAGTTGCCCAAAATTTGGAGAAATTGCAATTGAGTTGAGAAACAAGTCAACTAAATTCCATACTAAACTGAATAATTAATGTGAATAGTGAGTATAGAAACCTGAAATAGAAGAGCACTAGATATAGGTTAATATGTGTTATGGTGATGAATACATTTGTGCATAAGCAATTCATTTATGTCAAATATAAAAATAACTAAATGTTGTTCTTTGGGAAAAGAGAACATATATTTCAAGGCTAAACTACATTATTGACTTTTTTTTAGATAATGCCATAAGTGAAATGGGAAATGCCCAATTAGAGATTTTATAAGAAAGATCAGAAAATAGTGTTAATACTGCAAACTCTTCTTATTTCTAATTACCAAAAGTTGGCATGTTGCAAAATCAGAATTCCAGAATAGAAAAAAAAAACATTAACACCTACCACCAATGCAGTAGTCATATCAAGATAATATCAAGATAATCCCACACTGTAAGTTCTTTCAAAATCACAAACAAGTAGTAAAAGTAGAAATAGGACTCACTTTTGCCATATACATCAAAACAGAGCATAATATAGTCATTATTATTTAAATAAAATTGCAGGCCTGTAAACTGTCTTGCTTTAAGCTGGACAGTCTCTATTGAGGGTCCTAGCCAGCATTCAAAATTTTGTTCAATGAGAATGACATTCTAAGAATTATTTCTTGATATTTTTTCTTGATATTTCTTCATCAGAGGTCTAGACTTTTAACGTTCCTTATATAATTCATGTAGCGGACCCCAGGTAACCTCCGCTAATTCCTTCCTTCAGGCACTCAGGAACCACTTAGACTATATAAAGAGACCCATTTCCCCCCAGTAACTGGACGAGACACAGCTCTGGAGGTACAACACACTTTATTATGCCACACTCGGCTTTTATGCATAGCCCCATGCAAGGGGTCCACTTCACAAACACACAGGGGTTGTATCCCAAGGTCCTCTACACAGGGCCAGATTAAGAGCCCAGTGGGCCTGGTGCTGACAATTATAATGGGCCTAATTACAGAATCTTATCGACCAAAAACACTAAAACACTCCCAAGCGTCATGTATCTGATGGAGATGGTGCTGGAGGGAAAGAATACCCTATGCTAATCTCCCTCTAATTAATGTTTCCATCTTTCATGTAAATCCATAACCCCCAACAGCCATGTCCAGTGAAGCAGGAAGTCAATGGGCGCTGTAAAAGGGTGTGCCACTGACACAAATCATATAACCTTCTAAAAGGGGCGAACATGCCCAAAAAGGGGCATGTCCGCCCAAAGAATTGGAAGGCCAGACTGGCATGAAAGCATGCCAATCATGCAAGCTGGCTAACTAAGGGCATATTATGCAGACAGCACCCTGAGCTTGGTATAAATGTGTCTAATGATGCGTTCGCTCAACGCTTTCTAGCACTCACTGGTCCACTTGTCTTCTTACCTTCTTATTAGCAGGCAGAAGCTACTGGTATATAGTCTAGGACAGAGAAAAGCTGTATGTAGTGAGTGTAAAAGAAAGGGAACATGCCACAGTGTTAGAGAGACCAAAGTCAGCATTACCAGAACTAATTTCATTGTCAGTCAGTCCACACAAATTGTTTTCCCATACATCCCTCTTAAGTTTCCATACTTAAGCAAGAGTATGTGAAATGTAGTTAGGGTTGCCACCATTCTTGGAAAAACATACTGGCCTTACTAATTTCCATAATTAATTTTGTATGGGTGAGATCACATGATGTAAATCACAAGGAGTGACATAAGAGAAAATGCTGTAAAATCACCCAAAAACTACTTACAGTTTGATTCTGCTGTCCAGATGGATTGCTCCCACTGTCTCAGTGTCCCCTAGTCTCCCCTAGTCTCCCAGTGCCCTCATGACTCAGTGTCCCCATGTGTCGATTACCCCAGGTCTCAGTGTCCCTACTTATCACAGTGTCTCAGTGCCACATGTCTTCCAGTGTCCCCTAGTCTCCCAGTGTCCCCATGTCCCAGTGTCCCCCAGTGTTGTGACCCTATGTATCACATTGTCCCCATGTATCACAGCGTCTCAATGCCCCATGTCTCCCAGCGTCCTCTTGTGTCTCCATGTCACCCAGTGTCTCCATGTCTCCCTGTGTCCACCAGTATTCCTATGTCTCTCAGTGTCACCTAGTGTCTATGTCCACATGTCTCCCAGTGACCCCTAGTGTATGGGTCTCCATGTCTTCCAGGGTCCCCATGTCACTAGGATACTAGGGACACTGAGAGACATGGGGACACTGAGACAGGGGACATTGGGTGACCTGGGGACACTGAGAAACTTGGGGCACTGGAAGACATGGGGACACTGGGAGAAATGGGGACACAGCCACTAGGGACACTGGGAGACATGGGGATACTGAGACACTTGGGGACACTTGGAGACATGGGGACACTGAGACACTTGGGGACACTGAGACACTTGGGGCACTGAGACACCAGGGACACAGACACTAGGGACACTGGCTGGGAGACATGGGAATATTGAGACATGGGGACATTGGGAGACATAGGGACACTGGGAGACATGAGGACACAGACACTAGGGACACTGAGACACTAGGAACACTGAGACACTTGGGGACACTGAGATACTGAGACACTGGGAGACACTTGGGGACACTGGGAGACATGGAAAGACTGAGACACTAAGGACAATGGCTGGGATACATGGAGACACTGGGAGACTAGAGGACACTGGGAAACTAGAAACATAGAAACATAGAATGTGACGGCAGATAAGAACCATTCGGCCCATCTACTCTACCCAATTTTCTAAATACTTTCATTAGTCCCTAGCCTTATCTTATAGTTAGGATCGCCTTATGCCTATCCCACGCATGCTCAAACTCCTTTACTGTGTTAACCTCTACCACTTCAGCTGGAAGGCTATTCCATGCATCCACTACCCTCTCAGTAAAGTAATACTTCCTGATATTATTTTTAAACCGTTGTCCCTCTAATTTAAGACTATGTCTTCTTGTTGTGGTAGTTTTTCTTCTTTTAAATATAGTCTCCTCCTTTACTGTGTCGATTCCCTTTATATATTTAAATGTTTCTATCATATCCCCCCGTCTCGTCTTTCCTCCAAGCTATACATGTTAAGATCCTTTAACCTTTCCTGGTAAGTTTTATCCCGCAATCCATGAACCAGTTTAGTAGCCCTTCTCTGAACCCTCTCTAAGGTATCAATATCCTTCTGAAGATACGGTCTCCAGTACTGTGTACAATACTCCAAGTGAGGTCTCACCAGTGTTCTGTACAATGGCATGAGCACTTCCCTCTTTCTACTGCTAATACCTCTCCCTATACAACCAAGCATTCTGCTAGCATTTCCTGCTGCTCTATTACATTGTCTGCCTACCTTTAAGTCATCAGAAATAATCACCCCTAAATCCCTTTCCTCATATGTTGAGGTTAGGACTCTATCAAATATTCTGTACTCTGCCCTTGGGTTTTTACGTCCAATATGCATTATCTTGCACTTATCCACATTAAATGTCAGTTGCCACAATTCTGACCATTTTTCTAGTTTACCTAAATCATTTGCCATTTGGCTTATCCCTCCTGGAACATCAACCCTGTTACATATCTTAGTATCTTAGAGGACACTTAAAGACATGGGGACACTGAGACACTGGCTGAGAGACATGGGGACACTGTGTCCCTAGTGTCTCAGTGTCCCCATGTCTCCCAGAGTCCCCAATGTCTCTGTGTCCCCAAGTGTCTGTGTCATAATGTCTCCCAATGTCCCTTAGTGTCTCAGTGTCCCCATATCTCCCAGTGCCCCCATGTCTCCTTGCATCCTTTCCCCCATCCCTTACTTCCCTGAGCTGTAGGCTGTCTCTGCAGGGTGGGAGTTGCTGTCTGGACTCTCTGTAGCTGTTCCCCTGCGGATCAGTGAGTAGTGATAGACAGGGAGGGATATGCTGGAACTTTCTATCCCTGCCTCTCTCCACACACACAGCAACACCTACTGGCCAGTGCTGGTATTGCATCGTAATATCTGTTTATAGTAAGAAAAATACTAGCATTTGTATTTTCAGTATGGCTGCAATATCGGCACCAGCCAGGCAGCCTCAAAAACTGGCTGTGCCAGTAAAATACCAGCCAGGTGGAAACCCTAAGAGTAGTGTGTAAAAAAAGATATATTTTATTTTTAAATGAATGGGCCTATTTCATGGACAGGGGCCTGGAGCTGCAGTTAAATCAGTTCCTATGTTAATCTAGCCCTGCCTCTACACCTGGGAGCCAAAGCGCAGGAAAGGGGGGTCGCTGTCCCTTTGTCTCCCAGGTCCAGGAAGCCTGCCACACATACGAGGGGTCTCCCACCCAAGACGACAGGGGGTCTTAATCCCAGGCGCCTCTGTGTCTGGGAGCCAAGACACGGGAAAAAAGCTGGTACATTTGTCTCTAAGGCACAGGGAAAGCCAGCCAAACTAGCTAGTACAGCGGTACCTTTCTCAATCTGTCTCCGCTTGCGAGGTCCCTGTGTGATAACCCGGCAAGGGAAGCATCTCCATTTTGGTATGAATGCTCCCCCTGGCTGGCGTTCATCTACACAAAATGGCGGCCACACAGGGGAGCACTCATTAATTACTTCCCTTGCGGAGTCACATGTATGTTGCAAGTGCAAACGTTCTGATTAATTGGTGTGAGCGTTCTAATGGGGCACCGGGGAGGTACTCGTTCGGGAGATGAACGAATCGGAAAACAATCCACGAACGCTCTCCCTGGCTGGTGTTCGTCTATACGAAATGGCGGCCTCCCAGGGGATTGCTCATGAATTGTTTCCCTTGCAGTTTCGCAAATATGTTAGATGGGATGGGATATTGGGGTGGTCCCCGTTCGGGAGCCAAATGAGATTCCTTTGTATGAACACTCCCGAATGAGGAACAGGGCACAATACACGAAATGCATAGAATTACATGGGGAAAACCAGGGAAAACAATAAATAGAAGGGAAAAGCACCCTAACAAGCAGTGGTTCTGCCATAATTCACAGAACAGTTCAAAGTTGGAAGGTATGATATCTGGACCTTTGGGTGGGCCTTCAAGGGGGACATTGCCAGCAATGCAACTTACATCCATGGCAAGTTGCATCACTGGCAATGCTCTCCATAAGGCCCACCGACTAATTCAGATTCCATGCCTCCCAATCTTGAGATGTATGAAATTGAGTCTGTACTGTTCTGTGAATGATCTATGTCACTCTGAGAGGTCTAGACCTCTGATTGATTGATTGATTGATTGATTGATTAATAATGTTTAAAATGTCATCCCCAGGGAACAAAATTGTGTACAATGTACTTTATAAACCCAGAGCATTCAGTTCACTTCAATGGGTACAAAAATAAATTTGATTTAGATACTGTAACAAATGATGTAGCTGTTGAAGTCTGTACTTGTAGCAAAGGAGGAGAAACACTAGTTAACAAGTAAAATTACTAAAACCAAAACCATGCAAAAAGGTTGTGAGTCCAAATATATTGATAAGCATGGACAGGCCTAAAAGATAAGTGGTAAGTCTGGAGTAGTAAAAATGGTTAAGCTAAGTCACAGTAAAGAACTCTATAGCTAGCAAAAGTATAAGTAGTAGTAGCTCTTTTTTGTGATCAGACCAGACGTGCTAGCTTTCACACATGCATCGATCAGCCTTGGGCACCCATGATCCTGATGCCGTTTCACCAGATGTTCTTCCTTGCTCAACTTTTGGTAGATACAAACCACTGCATAGTGGGAACACCCCCACAAGACTTGCCATTTTGGATAAGTTCTGACACCATCATCAAGCCATCTTTATTTGGCCTTTATTAAAGTCACTAAGATCTTTTTGATACCCTTTTTACCTGCTTCCAACACATGAAATTCAAGAACTGGCTGTTTACTTGCTGCCCAATGTATCTCATCCATCGACAGGTAACATTGTAATGAGATAATCAATGTTATTCACTTCACCTTTCAGTGGTTTTAATGTTGTAGCTGATCAGTATACGTAATGTAATAAAATGCAGATGCGTAGACTGTTAATTTAGTTTTAAAGTTGAATAACTAAATAGCAAATAGTGATAGATGATGATAGATAGATAGATAGATAGATAGAGATATAAATAAAGAGATAGATAGATAGATACTGTCAAAATAAAAACAAATTAGAACTTTTTAACATATTTCCATTTAGTAGTGCTTTTCCAAAATGAGGCAAAAGAGAGGTTTGCAACAGTGGCTAGCGTGCCAAGAATGGTGTATCCTTGCTATACAAAATTTTGAAGCTTAATGAAGTGTCAGTTCCCAACAAGACTAAATAGATGGATGACCTGGTAGGCAGTTGTTAGAAACTCAAGAGGGGGAAAAAAGTCCTTTACTACATCAGGTGTTATTAAGATATAGATATCAGGAACTAAATTATAAATTATCGAGTTACAGTACAGAACAGTGCAATCGATAGTTGGAGGCTATTCCACACAAATGAAAAATATTACACATACTATTCTACTGTACATAATATGTATTCAAGAATGTATAGATTTTTGGTAGATAATAATACTTTATCTTTTATAACAAAATCAGAAATCTTGAATACAGACTGGTCAGACCATGCACCTATCATTTTACATTTAAAAGAAAAATATAGCAGTATTTTTTTATAGACCATGGAGGTCTATAAAAAATTACAGGCCCAGAAAATAGACATCTGGTGGAAGTGATGTTGCAGAATTATTTTAAAGAAAATTCCTCTTCAGAAGTGACACAAGAAATCCTTTAAAACACACTCAAAGCAACATTAAGAGGACATTTTATACAAAGATACATTTTGTTATTATTGGAAAAGAAATCAAAGAATCCTAACCAAGCCAACAAATTTGGCTCTTCCGCATCAGTGTCGGCAATGATAAAGGATATTAAAGAAAATATACATCTAATTAGATTGGAACATTCAGCACTAATGCTTAAAAGATTAAAACAACTATTTTATACTAAAGACGTCGTCATTGCTGGCATCCAAATTAAGACAGGTAAATTTACAATATAGAATTAAATATTTCAAGCATAGATATGGTAAAAAAATTATTCACTCAACTAAAATTATCAATGTATTTGCTTCTTATTACCATTCCTTATATAATTTAAAAGCTGATTGTGCAACTTTACAGCCCAGAGAGGAAAAAAATATATATTTTTTGGATAAACTCCCTTTTAAAATGTTTAATAAAGTCCAGATATATATATTAGATAAATAAATATAACATCTGAAGTGGCTCATTCTATTAAAGAGACTCTTACTAGTAAAATTCCAGGCATAAATGACTTTACTATATTATATTATAAAACATATTCTGAAATAGTTAAATTATTTAATATATATATAAATCTAGTGGCTATATTTCCCAGGAAGCGCAAATATGCACACTTCCACAACCTGGCAAAATGCAAAACGCCAGATATATATATATATATATATATATATATATATATATATATACAGAATTTTTTTAAAAATATATATTTTTTAATTCATTTATTTTTATGTATTTATTATTTTTACTTTATAATAATAATATATATAATATATATGTGACGATACGGCCTAATATGGTCAGTTGGTATTGTTTTTACAAAAACTGTACAACTAACCTGCGCCACTAAATGCTAGAACTAATCTTTGGCAGCGTATGCAGGATATGCTGAGCTGATATTTGGTTACTATATGATATTTTATCCATCCATTCTTCTTGTAATACTCTTATTAGTAATTACTCTATAGAGGACAATGAGTAGTCATATCTTGTGAGACCTAATCGAAGAGCCAACCGGCTTCTTTCTCCCTCCCCCGCCCCCCCATGCCAATACACCGTGATAACAAAAGGTTATCTTGATTGGACCCACTGTCCCTTCAGAGCAATCTTTGGTTTCATCTCAACACATCAGGTGATAACTCATGCAGCATTTAACTTGATTAGCCCACAAAGTACATTTCACACCTGACTATACTTTATGCCTGCATAGAGAGCTGCTGTCCTCCCCCTCTGTTGACCCACAGCTACATATACAGACACACACTGCTCTATGTTTAATACAGGTACACAATATGTTACATGCCTCCACGACTTTAAAGCCCATTAATATGGAGTAGCATGGAATGGCGTAATTGCGTTATAGGGTTAATTAATAGGAATCAGGTGGGATTTATAAAACAAAGACATGCAACAGATTGCACAAATAGGTTTG